GTATGTTAAGTTTTTTGCCATGATTTTTCTGCACTTGCAATCACGTTCAAAGATAGAATTAAAAAGACTTGAACTACTAACTTGCATTAGTAATGAAAATTTCGTGAGGCCTTTCGCTGCCAATAAAAAATATATCTTGAATTCGAATTCTGTCAAAGTAGTCTTTAAGGCTGCCAAGAAATACCTCAGTAAAATAGACGTTAAGTACATCAGCAGGGAACACGTTGAGGGCGAAGAATCAGTCAATAAACGGAGTTGTGAACGGCAGGCAAAGGCGAGTGACGACGATGATGACATGGACGAAGAAGAAGACTATTATGATGAGGACTTTGATGACGACGTGTAGCTTGACCCTGATTTTGGTGATAGGGTGTGATATTAATCTGTATTTTTTTAATTGAAGAGCAAATGTTATTGAAGATTTAACACATTACAATATTCGCATTTGAATTAAACTTTGGCTTCTTCGATAGGCTTCATGGCGGGAAACAGGAGAACCTATGGAAAGGGAATCGTGATAATGTTAAGAAAGTATAAGCCGTCCGCTCAGGCATATTTAAAGTACGTCTTACCTCTTTAATATTATTGCTATCAGTTAAGAACATTGTTAATCGATCTATACCCATACCCCATCCACCGCTGTTAAGGCAATGTCAAAAACGAATTAGCGTAAATAATAAATAGCTATCTGTCAATTGTAACCATTAAATACTTGCGTTGGCGGTAGTCCATATTCCAAACTTGTGCAAAACGTCTCATCAATCAACTGTGCTTCATCATCACCCTGTTCTTTTTGTCTTGCTTGTTCTTCGAATCGATCCCTTTGATCGAAAGGATCATTCAATTCTGTATAAGCGTTACACACTTCCTTGGTTGCTACAAATAACTCGAAACGTTCACATAATCCTGGAATATCTCGGTGATTCTTCGCTAATGGGGACATCATTTGTGGATGGCCAACTAAAAATGTCGGAGATATACAATTCACTTCAATAAAATCGCCTACTAGCTAAAAATTTTGGTAATAAAATTCAAACCAATGTTAATAAATTGAAAGACGGTTTGCTATTATAATCTGTTTCTGTATCCTCAATTAACCATCTCGTTTCGCCACCTTACTTTGTCGATTAGTCTTGCATTCGTTCGAGGCGCCGGACACTCAACGTTATGTTTCGCACATAATTCATTAAGGAATTTATTAGTCTCCGCTGTATGCAAATCCTTAGCTGGAGGGAATTGAACTCCCAATTTCTTCTCTAGTTCTTCAATCATGTTAATCCTCTTAAATGGAGGAGTGAAGTCAATGTCTAATGCTTCACCATCTGGGCCATGAGGATGATACTGGATTTTATATCCACCAGTTATCTCCTTAATCATACCCGAAAGCATAGATTCGGTAATCTCCATCAAGTCGTACATGTCTGCGTACGCCATATAGAATTCAACTGTGGTAAACTCAGGATTATGGGTTAAGTCAATTGACTCATTACGAAATTGTCTTCCTATTTCGTAAACCCTGTCTAAGCCACCAACTACGAGTTGTTTGAGATACAGCTCAGGCGCTACGCGCATATACATATCTAACTTTAAATCATTGTGATGAGTCTTAAAAGGCCGGGCGGTCGCTCCACCTGCAATCAAGTTCATCATTGGAGTCTCAACCTAAAAAAAGGCAAGAATATCACCCGTTAAACACCCGGCACAATAACAATTGATTCAAGCCCGAGCTTAAATAAAGCATTCAACCACTTGCCTCGAGGAAATCAAGTTGATCTAAATATTTTCTAACATAATTTACTATCTTGGCCCTGATGATAAACTTTTCGCGAACAGGATTGTTCATAATCAAGTCTAAATAACGCTGTCGATAACGCGACTCTTGATCCTTAAATCCATAATGTGCTTTGGGCAACATATGAAGACAGGGAGAGAGTAAAACTAAATCCTTCGGAAAGATTGACAGCTCGCCACGCTTAGACTTTCCAGGGCATCCCCGGACGCCTACGATATCGCCTCGCCGCAAGATATCATGAACTTCAGCAAAATCACGCTCGGAATCTCTACGAACGATAGACATTTTAACTAAGAACAGTACTACACGTGAAGAAGGTGTTCGATATCACTTACTGCGCTTGTGCCATAATCTGAATCTTCACGCCATCTGCATGCAGATCATAAAACTTCAATTTCGCGCCACTTGCTCTCTTGTTATGTATTCTTCCAGCGACTCGTACCACATCAGACAAATGTTCACCCGGCTCTAGACTGCCGTACTTCTGAATGAAGCTTGGTAATGAGATATCGACTTGAAACTTGTGTGGATATGGAGCAGGATTCTTGCTTGCTCGTAACTCTTGAATCTTTCTGGAACGAATTTCGAAATATTGCTACGAGGAAAACGTCGAGTAGACATGAGATCAAGGATTTAACCAACCAAAGAGCGTTGATATGGATAAGAAGAACGTACACATGCACATTAGCGATCTAAACACGTAAACAATTGCGCAGTGAATAAGTCAACCAGATATACGTACATTAGGGTTGAGATTTTCTTCAGCATCTTCCGCGTTAGCAGTCTTCCCAGTTTCAGTGTGTGCAGGTGCGCTCGCTGCCTGCATGGCCGTGATCAGAAGATAAAGCGAACGACTTAAAAATTAAATTAAAAAACATGAACACAGCAGTTATACTCTTCGCATACCTTCTTTGCTTTTTCTCTCGCCTTATTACGTCTCTTCAGTTCGCTGACAATATACAAATAGCACGTTATTTCAATGCGACTAAAGACAATATACTTCCCACTTAGTCACTCATTAAAATATTATACTTACTTCTTAGAAACCATCTCTCCCGTATCCGCGTCTAATACTAAATTAGTATCGTTGGTGCTCATAGTTCTCGATAAATAATTCTTTTCAGTAATAAAAGTACGTGTCACTCCGTTAGTAAGAGATATCCCTAAAGGTTTTTGTTTGAATACTGATAATCCCTGTTCAAGACGCAGCAACAGGTATCGGCGACAGTGTATCATAAACACTAAATTTTTGATGCATTTTCTACTTTTTTTGAGGCTAGATGTAGATGAACATTTTGTCCTACACGCTAACTTGAAAAAAAGGAGATACTTCCTTCACCAACGTCATACGCAGTATGGCCGCTCCAGCATTACGCGAGAAGACTTGTTTGATCTGTATTGATGGCTGGGGTATCTGTCAGGATGAAAACTCGCCAGGGGATGCCATTCGTCTTGCAAATACGCCGACAATGTCGGGTTTTGAGCAGAAGTATCCGTACACGCAACTCGCGGCGCATGGATTAGCGGTTGGCTTGCCAGAAGGCCTTATGGGAAATTCTGAAGTCGGCCACTTGAATATTGGGGCAGGAAGAGTTGTCTATCAGGTGCTGCGACGCGAGAGTCATAAAATTAGGTCCAAGACTTGTCTTCGCTAGACGGGTTGCAAACTTTAGAAAAAAACCGGGCTGGCGGAGTTGACTTGACTGCTGATCATGTAGCTAATATTAGTTGTTTTATAGGATATTGTAAGAATTGATCTGGCTGTTAAGCAGAAGAGATTTGGCGAGATTGAGAATATCGCGAAGTCATTAGATCATGCCAAGAACGGAACAGGAAGAATTCATTTCTTGGGATTGGAAAGTATCTATGCGATAAAAAATATTTAAAGAATGTTATTATGTACGATCTTAACTTTAATTGTTTGGATCGATATATTTTTTTAACACGCCTATGTTTATTTCTCTTCTGATGCTCATCATCAGATCTCCGATGGCGGCGTCCACAGCCATATTGCACATCTATTCCATCTTTTAGAGACTGCTCAGGCTCATGGTGTTCCACATGCCTACATACATTTCTTTGGCGATGGACGTGATACCGATCCAAAGTCATCTGACAAATATTTAACTCAACTTCAGACAAGGATAGACGAGTTGGGCTATGGACAAATTGCTACAATAGTCGGACGGTACTACGCCATGGATAGGGATAAACGATGGGAAAGAATTAAAATTGCTGTTGATGCCTTGGTGCAAGGCGTTGGGGAAAAAACCGATGATCCGCTTAAGGTCTGTGATAATGGGAGAGGATGCTAAATTAAATGAACACTAAGTTTATCCTAACTATTTAACGTGTTTTTGCGTGGTAGCAGACAATACATGAAAGATACGCTAAAGGCGAAACCGATGAGTTTTTGAAACCTATCATCGTAACTGAGGAAGGGCGAATTCGCTGTACGCAAAACTGTGTTTATTTCTTCTGTCTGTTTGGTGTAATGTATACTTGCTAATTCTTTATATGTCATGGATGTTTTTGCAGCTGGCGATACTTTGTTCTTCTTTAATTTTCGTGCCGATAGGATGCGTCAGATAGTTCAGACACTGGGTATTTCGGCTCCTGCAGACATTCAAGTGCCAGACAATCTTGTAAGATAAAGAGATTTGTTGTACCATGATTAAACAGATAACTAAATCAATTCTAATGATTTGCGTTTTGTTAGCACATTACCTGCATGACCAGGTACAAGACAGAGTTTCCATTTCCTGTAGCTTTTCCAGCTCAGAGCATGACCAACGTTTTAGCAGAGTGGCTTTCTAAGCACAAAATACCACAGTGTCATGTGGCTGGTATGTAGGAAACTGGCAAAATCTGCCGATAAACCGATGATTCACATAAAATTATTATGAGAACCTTGAATGGTTGCATATGTATATATTCCGATATTATATGATTTTAACCTGAATTTGTATGATACCGGAATATATATATATATATATGACATAAGATCCTCTTCTCAACCTGACCTTATGCAAATCCTTGTATAGAAACTGAAAAATATGCACACGTGACGTTTTTCTTCAACGGCGGCGTTGAGAAACAATTTGAATTTGAGCACCGAGACCTTATTCCGTCTCCAAAAGTTGCAACTTATGACCTGATGCCGGAAATGTCTGCCAATGGAGTGGCCGAGAAAGTTGCTGAGGAGTTAGACAGCGGGAAGTACCCATTTGTAATGTGCAATTTTGCAAATCCGGATATGGTTGGGCATACAGGCGTCTTGCCAGCCGCTACTAAAGCCGTGGAGGCTACGGACAACGGAATTCAAATTATATACGAGGCATGTAAGAGGAACGGATATATATTGTTTATCACTGCTGATCATGGTAACGCTGAGCAGATGATTGGAGAGTCTGGTAATCCACATACTGCTCATACGTGTAATCCAGGTGAGTAGCTAGCCCCTTATGAATTACTTTGGTTTACCCAGTCAATAATTTTGTCTTGACTATATGATTCTTCGTCTCTTCGTCAGTTCCTTTTGTTATAACATCCCAAAAGTACTCTTTTATCGAATCGGCTAGAGGGGCTTTGTGTGATGTCGCCCCTACAATTCTTGACGTTATGGGCTTGGAAATTCCCGAAGAAATGACCGGAACCTCTCTTATTAAACATTGATTTACTGAATAGACAATGGATAGATGAAACTGGTTATAGAAGTAGTTGTGTTTTATCGTTCCGGTTGTAATGATGTCACTTATGTAACAGCAAATAGGAACACATCTCCATTAACTTATTTAGCTTCCCAACCTTTCTAAACTGCAATATCTTCTAGCTACCAAAAGTTGATTCCCAAACCCAGTTGAAGCCCCTTCTTAACCTTGTCAGTGGCAGTAGTGACGAGCGGTAAACAGAAATTGACCTCTAATCTAACAATGCTGCTGCGATATACAATGCCAACTCCGGCAGATATACTGGGTGTCTTCGTAAGCTGGTTGATGTTACTTCGCAATCGGGCACCTGAGTAATAAAGGATAATGAGGGCTCAATTTTGTACGCGTTGGATTTTGTAATCTATCATCGAAACTTACGTTGATTGAGCTGTAACAAGTTTCCGCCATTAACAAAAAAATGGCCTTTTACAGGATAATTACCGAGTCTTGGCAGAGGCGTGAAGAGGCTTGCTCCTCCTGCCACGTACAGATCGCCACCCAACGAGTCCTCTGAAATTTTTATAAATCATCGGAATATGTCACATTAATTTGGGGAAATTTTTCTAATTGAATAGCGTAGTACTCACTTTTATCCTCTCTAGGTCCTATTCCGTTTAGTTTAAACCCTCTTATCGACTGTGCTCCGCCGAGGAAGAACCTATCACTTATTTTTGACCTTTGGCCATCCAATGGATATAGTAATCCGTTCCTTAATGATGCACTTAGAATCTATTTTATGAATTTTCTTGAGCTATTCTTGATAATAATATGTGCACGGATCACATGCAAATGCAAGCTCTCGAGTCAAACATCTAACACAAGCAATGATGGAAATTTTCTGACACTTACGAATCCTTTGCCCAAATGGAAATTTACTTGGCTTTCCAGCTCATGTTTGAAGAAGTCCACATCTCCTCCGATGCCGGCGAATTCCTGTTTTATGCGATAAAATTTACATTAATGAATAAATGATCACTGGTTAAAATCGTTAAACTGCCGATTTCGTGTTCCCCACCTGTGCAAGTTTCAAGTAATATCCCTTGGATGGGAGCATGACGTCATCTCGCGCGTCACGGGTAAATGTATTCGTTATTGATGATTTGAGTGAATGTCCAGCTGATTCCCGGATACTGTAAAGATTAATCGTGCTCAGCATCGGTTATCGCCAATATATAATGGCTCTGTTTATATGATTCACCTTAACGTAGCATTCTGCGCAATATTGGATACCTGTCTCCAAGTAATGCCGTAACTTAGTTCATGAAGTCCAAGGCGAGATCGACCCTACAATACATATTCCGGCGATATTTGTCATTCATATTCTATCATGGCTTATTACATCTGCTTCTCAGCATCAACTTACTCGCCATCGCAGCGCGGCTCCTCGTAATATCTCATCGTGTGAACTGTAAATCTGATTATTTTTCGTCAAACTAAAAGCTGACGCATCAATCTTGTAGTCTGGATTGCCGTTTATTGGTTTAGCTAAGCAAAACTAGTGAGTATGTTAATTAAAGAATACAACAGGGAAGAATTTTGCAGAACATATTGTGTTATACCTCAAACACGTGTGAAGTTTGCGTATTTGCAGACATGAATGCTTCCAGAGTTTCTGCACCTCCGAAGACATTTCTAATATTAAGTGAAATATTCTAATCAAAATGAAAAATATTTAGACGATCACCGGATAGGAGACAGATCTAAAAAGCAATCTAAACTATCCGTATAAAAAGGTCACGAACGGTACGAATTCAAATGCACGTATATATCACTTACCGCACTTCCAGCATCATTTCCAATTTCGGTTCCTGTCCGAATCCAGTACCTTGGTTTTTCCTCGACTGCGATGACCATGTCAAGCGCTTCCGGTGGTGCAAAACCATCTTCGCAGGTATCTAAGAGCACGTCGACATATTTAAATATATCAAGCCTATTTAATTTATCCGCAGCTATCCGAACTTCATCAATAAGTTCGCCAAAAGTTCGCGCTTCAAACGTAGGGCTGATTACGGCTTTAAAGAGGGACTGGCGAGTTTTTTTTGCCCCGAATATGCGACAAGACTGTATATAGAATGGTTCGCCGCTGGAATCGTTAACCTTTTATTAAGAGTAAAAATTTTAGTTCGGGCAAAGTTAATTTCATTCGGTTGGCTCGTTTGAAAAAATTAGCAGCAATCAAATCAGTAAATTATTAAGATTATTTAGATATACGTTTTTCGATAACTACAGCGTCAAACTTTAGCGTTATAGAATTCAAAGTTAACACACATACTAAATCTGCTAGTTTTCTAGCAGCGGCCAAGTACTCTCGCATACGTTGTCTATCAGACTCGGGAAAAGTTTGCAAGTATAATTCTTCGTTTTGATGAGACCTGAGTGGAAACTTCTCACATTAACAAATTCCTATTAATAAATTTAAACATAAAGTCATAAGGCTTCATTTGTGATCAATTACTGACTTCGTCACCATCCATTGTTGAAAATAGTGTCTCGAGGTTCCCTTCAAGAAAAGATTTCGTTTTTATCCATCATGTACTCCTTATATCACCAGTTATGTTACACAGAGTCACGAAAAAAGATTAATATATTTACATCATTTTACATTTCCCTTCATCTTTTAAATTCCTAGAATTTAATATTAATATGGGGCAGGCTGCAACAAAACCAGACAAAGTGAACATTCTATTACTATTATGTGACATAAATGAGAGGCTGATTATGATGTGGCTGTAAAATTGATCAGTGTGACTTATTATTATGGTTGATGACATTTTGAAAAGTAATAGTAATAATGATGCTCATTCATAACTTATGGACTTGTTAATTTTAATTATATGTTCACTTTATCATTATCATACCAGAATGTGAAAAGGTTTAGATTGGCATAATGATAAGCAAAGGCAAAAAATTGTTAGATAAAATTCAAAGCCTTGAAAGTGAGGTTGAATTTTTAAGAAACAGCAAACTCAACACATTGCTCAAATTGAAGTTAAAATAAAAGATGACCTAATTAAAGTAAAGAAGTATACTTCTAATGTATATAGTATGTAGTGGATAAAACCACAACTATGTTTCTGTTTTGGCTTTACATTTGTATAATTTTTGATTTTAATATTAATGTACCCATGCTATATTAATATATCAAGCTTTATATGTCATATAATAAACCAATCAAATAATAAAGTTTTTTCTACTCATATCAGGCTTTAACTTTTAATGTGCATGCGTTGTATGAATTGTGTAATGAGCGTGCAAAAAATACATATTAATATTCCAAGTCATGTATTAGTATTAGTATATAAAATTTAAAATAATATGCGAGAAGGCAAAATCAAACTCTATCCAGCCAATTTAACGGCATATCTGGTTGCCTTAGTAAAATCAAAGACCACAAAATTCCGATCTTGTAAATAATCCGTATATGTCTTCTCGAGATCCAGCTTAACTAGATGGCTCAAATTATCTTTGGCACAGCTTGATATTTTGGGTCACATACTGTATATTGGTGAGATATTTTGTGAACGCAATGGGCTATGCCTGATCATTTAGGTAGGATGTTATCCAAACTCAGTTGACAATGATGT